CTATCAGGCTCTGTGTCTCACAGATTTAATGATTTATCTTTAGAAGTGTTCATATACAATAAACCAAGAGTTTATCCGAGTGCAGTAAGAACTCACAGCTTCATGATACCCTTCCCATCACAAGGCTAGGTTTATTAGACATTGCTTTCTTTCAGACAGGAGTGTAAATCCATCAATAAAGGAAGATGATCTATATGCTGCTATCATGATACTGCCAACTGTCATATATAATCATGACTGCTTTCTTCTTGCTTCACTTGCATTGTATTAGACAAACCACATGGAGATTAGGATAAGGCACAATTGTATATACTCAGCATTGTAAACGTCTAGACTGGATCAGGTTATTTTGGATTTTCTCATACCATTGACGGACTGCATTTCTGTCTAAAAGATCTCTCTAATCCATTTGTCCATCCTTCTGGGGGTCTTGGCTAGAGAATTCTTCCAGGCCTAATCTTAAATACAATTAAGAAAATAATTATAATTGAATATATTTTGAATATATAAATGTAGAATTGACAAATTTCAGATCTGGTACAATGGCCCCCAACCTTTTTTAGGCACAAGGGACCAGTTTCATGGAAGACAATTTTTCCACAGACCAGAGGGGATGATTTCGCTTGCTTGCATGCCATTCACCTCCAGCTATGCAGCCACGTTCCTAATAGGCCACAGAATGGTACTAGTCTGTGTCCTAGGGGTTAGGGTCCCCTGTTTTAACAGTTGGTTTCTGCAGAACTGGAGATTTTTAAACATTGCTTCTGTGGAAGAATGGCACATTATGGTGGAATTATGTTTTTTTTTTAAAGCAAAAATGAAAAATGATGGAGGATGTTGTACTTTCATGTGAAAATCTCTACTGAGTTTTCTAATCAATAAATTATATTTTTAAAAAAGAAGGGTGTTATTTCCTTGTATCTATGTAGTTACATTCTGCTAGTGACTAATTGTTTATAATAATTATCCACGACAGTTTATTTTGGAAACCTAATATCACAGTTAATCATTATATCTAATCGACATTCTGCTATCTATAAACCGATAGCCGAAAGCTCTGTCTCATTTTACTAGCTTTTACATAAAGTCTGTCAAGCAAAGAATAACTGGAAGGAGTGTGCATGTGTGGATACACTTGTAAATATATACGTATCAGGTTGCTCGAACTAACCAATTTCCTTTCGAGCAGTTTTTTTTAACAGTGTGGTAGAAACAAAGTGGATAGATTATAAATTAGCTCAACAGTAAATAAATAAAAAAAGAAATATTTCTCATTGCTCCCCGCCCCCCACATATACCCAAGTTCAGATGTTACTTTTCTCCTATTCAGAATCACAACATCTTTCTTTTTCTCACATACTGGGATGTGCATTTCTGTTTTTACACTCCGTACAATTTACTTCTAAGCAGCATATGATACTGAGCATGTGTGAGTTTTTCTATGAAAAGGTGAGGGGGGAGTGTTAGATTTCATCACTCTGCTGCTTTCTGGCAATTAAATAACTTTGAAAATACATACTGGAGGAAATATACAGTTAATGTATTATTGTCTGATTTGCCCTTAAGATACTTGGGAGGAGTCTTCTTAATTTTTTTATGGAGGTGTCTTAGTTCATCTAATAGAGAGCTGGCAACCCAAACATCCTAATTTTAGGAGCTAGAATTGCCCTAAGAAAGCAGACATGCTAGATGGAAATAACTCACTTGGCTTAACTAGGCCAAGGGGAGGAGGGTAGTCTCTTACAATAATCTTTGTTAGAAAGGAAAAAGGAGGATGAAAACTGACTTTGCTCATAGCAGAAAAACCTGTATCAATCACCCCAAAATTTGGTGGAGAGAGGAATCTCTTAGAGTACTAAGACTGAATACCCTTATCTTTCATTCAGATTGTATATGCTGTACATATAAGGAAGCTTTATGGCATAGAAACACCAAACATTTCTAGTGACTTTATCCAAGAAAACAATTTTGGATGAATATTGAAATCCCTGACACTTTTTAATTCTTGGAATGGGATAGATGCTTATAAAAATAAGTTTAGTTCTGCTCTACAACTGGATGTTTATAGATCTTGTTGGAATCCAGCAAAATTGCCAGGTTTTTTATTTTAGTAAGTACTTTTGTGGCGACTCAGCATTATAGACATGTCCTAAGTTAACATTTGCAAAGTAAACTGCCACCATAATAAATATTTAGTGAATAGAGTGGAAGAGAGATCATTTTAAATGTCTACAAAGATGGTAAGTCTAAACTTTAAATATAAAATAATGGAGGGGAACAAGATCTTCTTTTTCACCTCACTTGCCCTGTGGAAGAGCATTTAGATTACCGGAACCATATTGGACTTTCGCAAAGTGATAAAGATCTGGCTATTCCTGTAGGCATTTGGGGTGTGAAATAAATAAATACAACTTGGAAACAGATTAGGTGAGCTGCCTGTTTTTGATGTGAAAGAAAATGAAGTCTGACAAATAGCATAGTCACAGATAAATAGCATGTTCATAGAATTCAGTTCTTTTTCTCTATTTCTTCAAGTATATGGAAAGAGATAATCAGATTCACTGTCTGATTGCCTTTTACCCTACTTGGACTGGGATGCCAAATTTATGACTGTAAAGCTACATTTATTCAAAGATGCCAGTTTGCTGTGAGCCTGTGTGAGCTCCACTAGATTTCTTCCGGTTTATATAGCCACTCTTATGGTTTTTACTTGTAAATGGCTCAGAGTCATATAAATAGTGAGATGGCCAGTGTATAAATTTGATTAATAAATAAATGACTAAATCTTTCTGCAGTGGCAGTCTACATTGTATCTGAATGACCTTTCGGCAGATTCTATTGATATTTACAAAATACTTTTCCAAGTGGGTAGTAGAGGGCATCCACTGGGCTTCCATCCCTATCCATTTTGCTAAGGTGGTAGAGGTTTTTTTTCCCCCCAGCAGTTGTTTCCCCTTGGATTTATTATAACTGTTATTGCTGCTAGGTGTGCTACATTTATTATTTAAACCTGAAAAACAGTAGTTCTTTAGCCGTTGTTCTAGTGCTACTTTTCTGCCCTGCTTTCAATAGGCAAATGATTTAAAAGTATAATCAACTAGTGCGTCTATTAATTAATTAATTTATTTATGAGACTTATATACCGCTTTAAGTGCAAGCACTCTCTAAGCGGTGTACACCAGTAAGCAATGTATATATATATTTACATTGCCCCCAACAATCTGGGTCCTCATTTTACCTATCCCGGAAGGATGGAAGGCTGAATCAACCTTGAGCCAGTGAGATTTGAACCGCTGACCTGCTGAACACAGTCAGCTAAAGTGGCCTGCAGTACTGCACCCTAACTGCTGCGCCACCTTGGCTCTTTATTAATAATCTGTTTTGCATTTCATGTGATGACAGTACTTAAACCATTGCGAAAACAGGTTTCCAGAGAAGGCAAATTAGTAGCCGCTAGATGATACAAACCTCCTATCTGGCAGAAAGAAATTGGGACTGCTTAAGATCTCTTTCGAATGGTGGGGGAAACTCTCCGAGCCATTGCTAGTCTCTATGCAATGTTCTGAATAGGATCCTAGAGTAGAGTATGGGGGTGCAAAAAGTTGGTAGTTTCTCATGTTCCCTAGACAGGATTTGAACTTGGATTGAGCAAACTTTTGTTCCTCACCAGTCGCACTTAATATGTATAGGCCGGAAGGGGAAGTCCATGGTGACTATGAGAAAGCACAAATATATTCTAAATGCCGAAGTCAGTTGAAAGAATAAATAATAAAAAGAGATATTGAATAAAATATAAACATTAAACTAGATAAAATATAACTTGTGCTGCATATTTTGAAAAAACACACATATAAAATTATAAGCCCTAAATTATCAGACAAGCAGAGCTAGAAGATTGGTAGGGCTGATGTGTTAAAGATGGTCACAAGCTCAATCAGATATTTTCATGTTGTGATTCCTTGCCACAAAAACCTGCAGGCACTGAAACTTTAACTGTCAGGTCTTGGGTTTCCAAGGAGCAAAGAAAAACAAAGGTACAAGTTTGTAAATCTAAACTAAAATAGCCCCAAAGAAATTGAGAAAATAAATAAAAAGGCAACCACCATCTTTAACTCAAAAGCAAAAGATCAAGAGGAAGCATCTGATAAACGTGAAAGAGCCACCAATGCAATTCATGGAAACATTAGTGCATTAACCTGGGATTAGGAGCCAAATACAAATTATAGCCAAAAGGATGGTTGGAATCAAGGGTACATCTGTGTTAAAGATCAAGAATTTCCACTTTCAAAGCGAACTTTCTTAGTTCTTGCACACCCACAAGTAACACCTATTAATCCATCAACTAGTCCTACTTTAGCCATGAAAGCAGCTGGGTAACTTTGGGCCAATCACTCTGTCTCAGCCCAACTCACACCACAGGGTAGTTGTTATGTAGAAAATAGGAGGAAGAATTGTATATGTCACCATAATAATGGTGGGGTGCAAACAAATTCTATCTTGCTTTGGGTTCTTTTAGGCAAGGTTTTAAAATGGGGAAATTGCATCATTCACGCAGTGTTAGGGGATATAAGTATGTGCAGAAAACGCACAACCATTCAAAAGCTTTTGTCTTTGCATGGTTTCCCCCCCACCCATTCCTTTTTTGCATATCATCTTTCCATAAACATCTGTTAAGGAGGTCAGTGAAATAGCTGAATACTTGTCGATTCTTCATCCCACTGTTCTCAGTTCAGATGATATATTTTTTTATTCCACTGGTTTGTCATTGAAATGACTTTGCTATTTTTTCCGATAACAAAATATACTGTCTCTATTTATTTGTATATCACCTTTCTCTCAAAAGGAAGGGAAAAAAAGGAAGGAAAAAATTCCTCAGTTGGAGTCGGACAGCTTGGTTTTATGCCAGGGCCCGTAAAACTACATTTCCCAGACATCTCTGCACCCTGTATCCCTCCCTGTCCCTCCCCTCCCCTCCCCGCCCCTCCTCTTATCTTCGGATTCCTGCCGCAACTCGGAGTCACTCGCAGCCCTGCTTATCTGCGGCGCGCCCTGCGATCGCGGGCTCGTAGGGCGGAAGGGCTTAGGATCGAGGCAGGCTAGGCACTGGCTAGGCAGACTCTAGGCGAAGCGGCGCCACTCGGAGGCGCGGAAGGCTCGCAGCTTCTAGACTTTGGCAGAGGGAGCTGCCTTGAAGCGCATGTAGGGAGGGAGGAAAGAAGGGAAGATGGTCATTCGGGTTTTCGTCGCGTCTTCCTCTGGTTCCGTGGCGGTGAGTGGAAAAGGCAGGCAGGGAGGCTGGGGAGCGCGAAAGTCCAGCGATTAGGCGAGGGAGCCACTGAATTCATCGCCCCTGCCTCTTGGTTGTTTTTCTTTCCACCCAGTGGTGTCCTCAGATCTGTTGGGCCGGACTACAACTCCCATCACGCCTAGCCCCGCACGACCCATGGCTGGAGATGGTAGGAGTTGTCCATCGCACTCGGGACGCGAGGTTAGGGGAAGCTGTGCCTTCGACAGACCCCCCTGGGAGTATCTGCGGGCGGAGGCTGTCGAAAATCGAAAGCCGACCGAAAGCAAAACGCGCGAAATCTTTCAGTAGAGAAGCGGCGGAGCCGAGAGAGAGATTTCTGCCGAGGGCAAGAAAGTCCGTAACTCTGGAAAGCGGCATTAGTCGCTTTTTGTCGCTAATAGCCTTTTTCCCGATAGAGGCGAGCGGCGCTATCGCAGCCTCCCCTTTGCAGAATCGTTGGGTTTGGGCGGGCAATGCATGTTGTAATTTACCAATAAGTGTTGTTTACTGGTCGCTGGCCCATTTCCTTCAATTTTGTGATCTGAAAGGGTGAAAGAAAATAATGCATCAAAAATATTACTGTCCTTGTTACCCTTTCCGACAAACGGGAGTGACCCCCGTTTTATAATGAAGTAATTAATAGTTAATAATTAACGACCACAATAACACTGTACTTTTTTTTTTAAAAAAGGAGTCCATATGCAGAATTGGGACTGGTAGGTGCACCAGAAGCCCTTACGCGTTTTTTTGTTTTTGTTTATATGTCTGTTCATCTCACTTAAGTGACTCTGGGAGATGTACAGGATTAAAGCACAAAACCCAGCAAAGATATCCTCCAGCACCCAGTGATAAACAATCCACTCACCATCCAACATACCAGAGCTCATCTGAGCTCATAATAGCTTGTAATTATAGTTGAGTGTGAACACATTAAATTCACCATAAAATTGCTGCTTCAAAACATTTTTTAATCAACACAAAAACTCAGAAAATTGTGTTTCTGATGCAAGTCAAATTTAAGTCTTACTAAGATCTTGATATTATACTGTTATCTATTGAAGGAAGGTGGGAGGATTTACCCTAAAATTATTAGAAAGCATATACTAACTAAACCAACACCCACAGCTCTTCAAAAATAAACATTTTAGCTTTGCAGCATGTGCTGTTTAAATAATTAAGCTTCCTCTATAAATGTGCTTAACATTTCAGCTGCATGTGGTTGGATCCACAGTTTTTTAAACGGTTGTTTGAGTGGTCCCCACTAATATCTTTTCTCAGTACTTCTGTTTCTCTCTCAAGATACGCTCAGTCTTTAGATATTTCCCTTTTGCACAGACACAATGATATTTTGGCACTGTAAGGATTGTCACCCAAAGAATGTAGGATGTGCAGTTTGGAAATTAATGGGCACCAAGTTGTAGACATATTGTAGAGCTGGTTTATAATCCCTAGACTTTCTGCTGCTGTAACTAATTTTGCTATCTCTAGAGACCTCTGTTTGAGTTATATATTCTTGTCGAGGTAAATATGGATCTGCATGGCCTTTTTATGAGAGTCATTGAAGGAGATTTTCTACACTCATAATTGCTTATGCTTCAATATTGGTGATACTGAACTTTGCCTTCTATAAAACACACTTATGCTGCCTCTATGGACTGATAAATCTTTAGCTGTGTGATATTTGTGTAATAAAGGCTGAAGTACAGTGTGGTTTGGCACAAAGTATGTATCATGCTAGGTAGCTGTATGCTAACAGCCAATAGTAAGTAATTACCCATTTCAGGAGCCTGCTGAGTAACTATTAGAAGTTTTTAGAACCTGTATAATGAGTAGTCACTGAACATTCACAATAAAAACTCTCCTCCTGTTGATCTATTCTTAGCAAGTGATTTATAGTAATGCATCATCAAAATGTTTAATTTGTGTCACATATTTAAAAACAATGATTAAAATAACCAAGAAACTGAAGATGCTGTCCCTGTATTAAATAAAAACCTGAGATCATCTACTAAGTCTCACTAAGCTTAGTAGAGCTTATATTTTAGCAGGGCATACATCAAATTGCACTATTTATCTTTGGCCCTGTGCCTATTTGCCTTGTGCAACTCAGGAAATCCTTCCTTCTCTTAAAGTTTATTACTCATTTCATTGCCATATCTGTTTTGTTGAACGCATAAACTAATAAAATAAGCAAATTACTCTCTTGCTCAAAGCAAAGGGACTGGATGTCTAACAAATTGGTTTATAAATAAACTTAATGCTACAGTATTTTTTCTAGTTAGTACACTGTGAAAAGTGGTGTGGCCCTAAGCATTTTCACCACCCCTGTTCCTTTCTCAATAATCAGTAGTTCTGAGAAGTGCTACTGGCAAGTCTGAAGTAGTAATACTGCAACATCCATATTGTAGATCACTGCCTAGCATCAGACTACACCATTCTGCTCTTCCCTTTAGCTAGAACACAAATGATAGAGTACTTTACACACAAAGTACTCCATCAGTAGAATCATCTGTCAGAAGATAATGAAGAGTGGATTTCAGTTTTCTGCCTTTTATTTACTCTTTCTTAGTAGTCATGTGCCAGTTGCAAAAAACCTTAATTTCTTGCTTTCAGTTTCTTTCAATTTCTTCTTTCAATCTGGTAAGCAGGAGGGGGAAGGTTATTATTCATATGTTGAAATCTGAGCTTAATGCCATCTACCTCTGCTATTCCCCCCCCCTTTCCGGGAAAAGCTAGATTCATAGCATTGTACGGTTTGCTTAATTTTTACTTAGAATCGTGCTGTATGAATCTAGCTATTGTGGTTTGCACCATGTATAAATAATTTTGCGTTATTTGTATTATTGAGAAGACGATAGCTAGTGCAGTGGGCCAAACCAGCAATTGTATGAAGAACATTCTATACTTGTACCTATCCATGCAATAGTTTTACACTAAACCCTTTACAGTCTGAACAAATTGTGCTTTACATGCACCACTGGTCCTGTACAAAGAGCACATAGTAAATATGTGCTCTTCTTTTGTTAATACATCAGGAATAGCTGTTACTGCAACATGTAATAAAATATAGTAATAAAAATATATTCAAGGAGAACCAAATTCAGAAGATTAGATTATTTTAAATTTGCTGACTAATAAATAGGTTTTCATCTGGAACAAAATGAGGGTGAGGCTGGCCTCAACTACTATGGAGACAATCTTCCATAAAGGTGATGTCATATCACCTTAGTTGTTATTAAATAAAGACATTTTGAGAAGGGACCTCTTCTTTGGAACTTAAAGTATAAGCTATATAGGAAAAGTTTTGTATATTTGGCACCCAAACTGCCAGGGTTTTAAAGTTAGTACTAGAGTTTAGAATTGAGCAGGTAGTAGTGCTTGCTTAAATTTCATTGCCAATTTCAGTTATTTTTTAAACCTTCCTTTGATTCAGATAGCAAAGAGAGAGGTGACGTGGCATGCAAGTAGAAGACACCTCATGCCTTGATGGCAATGCATTGCTATTAAAAAGTAAAAACGTGTAGGATCCTAAAGTATAAATGCTATGGAATACAACCAATGTCTCCCACATTACCTATCCACATACAGTGATAACCTTGGTACTCAATTGCTTTGAAACTCATCGAATTTGGTACTCAATGCATTTTGATGTGAAAATTTTGTCCTGGTACTCATCGTTCTTTGATACTCAACACACAAGCTAGAACCTGTCGATATTGGCTGCCTTATGACTCATTACATTATTCCTTATGGGAAAAAATTGTTTGATACTCAAAGTTTTTATTTATTTATTTATTTATTTATGAGACTTATATACCGCTTTAAGTGCAAGCACTCTCTAAGCGGTGTACACCAGTAAGCAATGTATATATATATTTACATTGCCCCCAACAATCTGGGTCCTCATTTTACCTACCCCGGAAGGATGGAAGGCTGAGTCAACCTTGAGCCGGTGAGATTTGAACCGCTGACCTGCTGAACACAGTCAGCTAAAGTGGCCTGCAGTACTGCACTCTAACTGCTGCGCCACCTCGGCTCGTTTTTGGTACTCATCCTGCCTCCTGGAACCAATTAATGATGACTACCGAGATATCACTGTATATTCCTCAAGACAGAAGTGAAACTATTCTCAGAATTAACCTGATAAAATATTGTGATCATTTGTATAAAAAATAAGCTATAACTCCCTTCCTACTTCCTCAACTGACATTGAAAGTTCACTTAGCAGTTCATTGAGAGTTCACTTAACAGAGGGGCTTCATTTCCCTCAGCCTCCATTTCTTTATTATTACTCCAGTACACTGTTGTTATGGATAGTATATAGATAAATGAAAATGTCGAGGCTTGTGAAATCTCCTTTGCGTTTTATTACAAAGATGAGGTACTACATTTACTCAGTAAAAACAAGGGGAGAGTTTAAATTAATTTGAAAGCCAAGCCCTTTATATATTTTCCATATTTGTTAAAATGGACTCTAATGTGTGAATGTTTCTACCATTTTTAAAATTTGTAATATGCTATAAAATGTGCATTTTCCTACTGTGGATTAAAATGGTTGCCCTTCTGGGATTTTTTACATTTGGAAATACTCTCTACATTATTCAGGGACCTTTCTTCCACATAACTATTGAGGATTACAGCAGACAGTCATTTTTAATAAATTATAGAAGTTACCAGTAACTTCAGTTTGTACCAGAAATTCAGTACTTTTAGGAATAATAGATTCTAATAATGCTAGCAAAATGCAGGACTTTAATCTCAAGTTGCCATTGCTCCTTTTATTGAATGTACAGCACTTTTCAGAATGGACTATCTGTAGGATGAGACCTCTTTGTATAAAATTAAACAACCTATGCCCCATTGTTTCAAAGACATTTCCTTACCTAAACAGAAAAATGGAATAACCAATGTCGGGCAAAAAAGCAATGGGAGAAGTGACTTCCAACTTCCTGCTAGCTTCCCCATTGACTTTCTTAGTGGGAATCTGGCAGGGAGCATGGGAAATCTTCCCACTCGCTCTACCTTTTCTTTCCCCTCCCCAGCAGTCTACTGCTGGTTGAGGGAGAAAATGAGAGATTGCAAGAGACTTGCTGATAAACTGTCACAGAATGTTGAAAATGAAGATCACATGGCCACAGCAGCAGCCAGCAGCCCTGAGGCAGCCACAACTTCCCCAAATTTAATCCCTCAGAAGTCATGGC